TTCATTAGTATATTTTCTCCCACCTGAATATATTCAGACCGATATTGGTTCGAATATTTATTTTTTTGGACCGACACTATTCGGTCCGTATATGGTCGGTCCGTATACGTCATTTTTCTAGTAGTGAAACAACTGTATTAAGATCCATATTTTTCAGTAAAAATAGAACACCTTTAGCAGTGGCATAAAGTTGTCAAAGACAACTTCAGATATACTAACCACAATATGGATGGTAGCAGCAACAGCATAGGTCTGCAAATTTAAGAGGAAATATATGTGGTTACTACATATATCAATTCGCTCCATGAAACCATAAACAAGAGAATGCCAACTGTTGCGGCATGTGGTTCTGCATGGTGGTTGGAAAAGCAAATTTCAGCCTTTGAAATTTGGTTGCATGGGAAATTGCATGGCAGCCCAATTTTGTTGAAAAATTGGAAGTCTCATGGCAGCCTTTGAATGGAAATTTGGTTGCTACAACTTTGTCCATGCAACATTTATTGTGCATGGTTGGATGATGACTTTGGAGCCCATTGCATTCATTGTGGTTGGTTGGCATTTGGCTATAAAAGGCTATTTGGCCATTCGGCAAATCACACCAAAAGAAGAGCAATCCAAAGCAAAGTGAGCTCTAGAAAATACAAGAGTTTTGTGAGTGCTTTGGGTGAGGGTGAGCAAGAGCAAAGTGGTTAAAATTACTTTGCTGAGTGTTTTTTGAGTGTGTCTCGCATTCAAAAATACTGTGAGTAAGATTTGGGTGTAATTGGGGATTGGGTATTTTTCTGAGAGTACCACAAATTGTATCTCCCTATTTTAATAGTGAATTTTTCCTTGTAAGTGCCCGTGGACGTAGGCTCAATTAAATTAGAGCCAAACCACGTAAATTCTGTCTTTCTTGTGGTGGTGCTTTTTTTTATTCCATTAATTTCTTAATCTTGTAGTGGGTTAACCAAAATCTCAAGCAATTTGTTCCAACACCAATGAAGGTAAACTAGAATATAACTAACTGTGCAGTTCTTCATCCTTTGGTAAATAGCCCTGCTTGTTAGCACCGCACTTATAATCACACTAAGCCCTGGTTCAGTGAGGACAATATCTGATGCGCTTCTAGCAGCATCTGAAGCACTGGCAACAGCAATTCCAATATCAGCCTTATTCAAAGCAGGAGCATCACCATCTCCGGTCATACCACAGATATGTTTCCTCTCCTGCAGCCTCTTAACAATTTCATATTTGTGTTCTAGCATAGGCAGAAACAAATTGTTAGAAAGAGGAATCAGGGTAGTAACTTGAAAGGTGGATGGCCAATAGTCAAAAAATTATAAAATGCATACAAGCGACAAAAATCAAGAACTATTATGCTGGATGGCAACAGTGAGTTTGACAAAAATCAAGTAATATCATTACTTTTTATAGAAACTTGATGTTATTAAGTCATCAGTGGTTTCTTTAATTAGAATTAAAAAAAAGGTATATGTTTTTGTAGAAAATTTACAAATATATTAAACCACCTGGTAACACTCCAGCAAATCCGTCTGCCATCTCAATGAACACATTTATAGGGAAAGCAGCAGCAATTGAAGCATCCTTATCTTCAAAAAGCAAGGAGGAAGAAGGGTACATGTTCGTTCCCATTCCAAGCCTCCGCCCAGTTTCTCTGGCGATGGCAAGCTGATCACCGAAATAATAAAACAAGGTGTGTATAACGTAAGGAGCGAGGTAATAATCAATTTAGAATAAATAAACTTTTGAACTAGAACTAAGTAAAATATTTAGTCTCACCAGTAATCATCTTAACATCCACGCCAAGGACTTGAGCCATTCTAATAGTTTCAGCACTGTCATGCCTTGGAGGATCAAATAGAGGCAACAAACCAATAAGCTGCCATGGTTCCCCTGAACCATCTTTTTGTCTTCTCAGGTATTTCCTGCAAAAATTAACAAGTTAAAAAAAATTAAAAATAAAAAAAGAAGAGAAAGAAAACAGAAACATCATTAGCTCAATTTGCTTAATGAAGTGATGTTAACAATGTGAAGAGTAGCAAACCTGTATTGCCACTGCTAATGATTGAAGTCCACGTTCAGCAAACTTGTCAATTACTGCATGAACCTTTTTCCGCACATCTCCCTTGGAGTTGCAGAGGTCCAATACCTGTTACAGGACAATGAAAACACACGGATAGCTGTTACTTCCTTACAACTTTCTAACTGGATATACCAGCCTGAGGAAAATCATGGATACCTGCTCGGGGGCACCTTTGCTAGCCCGATGCCAGTTTCCATTAGAATCAATGTAGGTAAGAGCAGTTCTTTTGGCTACAGGGTTGAAAGGAAGGAAATGAACCTCCCTAATACCAGCTCGTGCCTGGTCAATTCATAATTAAAATGATGCAGAAATCCTCTAATCCACTACCTAACAAAAGAGGACAAAGAGTAGCAAAATATACCTCTTTGGGATCTGCAAGCATTCCAACAACAGCCGCATCAATAGCATCCTGATTTTCAGTTCTTGAAGCTCTAGCTGCATGAAGGATAACTTGGTCCATCTCCATCCCCTCTACAAACACTTCAATCAGGTTTCTTTCAACAGTCAATTTGTTCAGGGTCAGAGTCCCTGTCTTGTCACTGCAGAGAACATCCATGCGTGCCATTTCCTCAATGGCTGTCCTTCTCTTGGTAATAGCACCTTGCTGAGAGAGCCTTTGAGAACCAATAGCCATGGTGACAGATAACATAGTTGGCATGGCAATCGGGATCCCTCCAATCAAGAGAACTAGTAAATTGTCAATTCCATCTGTTAGCATAAATTGCTTGAGATTTTGGTTAACCCACTACAAGATTAAGAAATTAATGGAATAAAAAAATACAGCACCACAAGAAAGACAGAATTTACGTGGTTCAGCTCTAATTTAATTGAGCCTACGTCCACGGGCACTCACAAGGAAAAATTCACTATTAAAATAGGGAGATACAATTTGTGGTACTCTCAGAAAAATACCCAATCCCCAATTACACCCAAATCTTACTCACAGTATTTTTGAATGCGAGACACACTCAAAAAACACTCA